GCCCGTGGCCGCCGCTGCGACGTCCAGGGAGGAGAAACCAAACCGCGCGCCTCTCCCAACTGCCCTCGGCGCCCCCCGGAGCGCCAAGAACCCTCGTGCCGCTCCTCGCGATGTCCAGAAGCGTCGGGAAATGTGCGGCTTATAACCCGGTGCGCTTTATATGTGGGAAAAGTTTAAAAAATTAACGTTAATTGATACTGCGGCTTTTAATCCGGTGCGGCTTTTGGTCGTGAAAATACGGTAATAAATTATAGAATAAAATAAAAGATAATCCAAAGGATTGATCATAGACTTTTCACGATGGGTAAATTGATACAAATTAGGATATGCAGAAATAAATAGAAAACAATAATTTACCACAGTAAAGAAATCAGACTTCAGACTACTTACATACCCCAAGTCAAATTAGCACACATCATTACTTTTTATAATAAAATCAACTTTCGTTGCAAGGGATAGATAATCTATATATAAACTAGTCTGTGCTACTGCTGAATCTACACCACTTCACGTGAAGAACTGGTTCCTTTCCTTTCTCAGCTGACTTCTTTAAAGTAAGGATGGGAGTGTTTTTAGTGCCTTGACCATTGTCTCACAAGAATTATGTGTAGAAGCAAAGAACAAATGGGATACCTAGTGTAGTGTTAATCCTAGACAACTCACAGCATCATTTTTATGCTTGATACAGACAGCATGTACCATTTAAAACCTTCATTTGTATCTTCTCAATACAGAATGATGAAGATTTTTTCTCCAAAGTTTAGATGAAGTGGGCCAAAAGTCCTTTTGATATAGTGCATGATATATAAAATTGTTTAGCTCTCTCCCAATATGTTCAACAAAGTACACTTTATTAAATGTCTTTCTGTAAAGATAATAAGCTGTAGAAAATGTGGCAGGCCTGAAGTCCCAAAGATGGCTTTCAGGTCTGACATAAGCATTTTCTTAAATATGCCATACCTAGGTTAGAAGAGAAGAATGCTGCAGTTTTGCATTTCAGGATATATAATTCTTCTATTCCTAGTTGCAATGCAACCAGGGGTGGGATTTAGCCAGTTTGGACCGGTTCCGACGAAATGGATGCTAATTTTGCATCTGGTTGCAACAAGGACTGGCTGGCTCCGCCCTCCATCCCTACCCTCCACAGAGTCTCCACATGGCCCATTCATCATGCCGTGTAGGTACAGGGCCCGCGTAGAGGGTCTGGGAGGGCAAAAAGGGCCTTCCTGAAGTTCTGGAAGTCTGGAAACAGGACTGTTTCTGGTTTCTGGAGGGCCTCTGGAGCCCAGGGAAGGCTGTTTTTGCTCTCCCAGAGGCTTGGAGAAGCCTCTGGAGGGTAAAAAAATGAACATTCCAGAAGTCCGGAAATGGTCCTGTTCATAAATTTAGTGACCACAAAAATTGCTTCAGGATATTTTATGCAGTTAAAATGAATAATTTATTATATATACAGTTAAACACATTCTTTAAAGAAATGGATATGGTAATTAAAATACAGTAGATTTAGCATGAAGGTACAACTAGACAAATTAGACTAAAACAGAAATTATTTTTAACTTAAAAGAGCACAAAACCTGAAATAAAACACAATAAGTTGCATTATTTACCAGGACAGTAAAAAACTGTACAGTACAAGCAACACATTACAATAAATTATGGTCAATGAGGCAGTCTTTGATTTGGGATCAAAAGAACAAAATAAGGAAAGCTAAAATCTCATAAATCCACCATATCTCTTTTCCATCTCTGGAGCCTCTTTGGAATAATTTTCTCCATCATCATCTGAAGGAAGAAGCGTATCAGCAAACCGCTTGAGAAATCCACCATATCTTTTCTGGTAGTCCAACCACCATTCTGGCCTTCCCACTCGTCTCATAAATCCACCATATCTCTTTTGTAACTCTTTGGCATCACCTTCCAGCTCAGGACTGCGCTTTATGCTTCTCATGAAACCACCATATCTCTTGAGGATCTCACTATCACTATCACTCAAGTCCTGATAGCGTCCTACTTCAGCATTTTCCTCTGTTGCAAGAAGCTCCTTCAGAAGATCAGACGAATTAGCTAAACCATCATCATCTGAATCTTTCTTCATAAACCCTCCGTATCTTTTAGCAAGAATTTCTCCAACATTGGGTTCCTCCTCTGGTTCTACATGATAGAGCTCATCCATCTTTTTCATAAAGCCACCATACCTTTTCATGAAGCCACCATATTTTTTGGCTAGCAAATGGCTTTCATCTTCTTTTGGACTGTCCATTGGGATGCTGCTGCTTTCTTGGGGAATGCCCAGTTTAGTAATCTGAAGAAGTTCCTTGCAGGTTTCCCAGGCTTTGGCAGAAGGCAATTTTCCTTCACATTCTAGTGTACATGCCTGAAAAATAGTTTGATTTATAAAGTTATTTAGAGGTAGAAATAACATTTGAAATATTGTCTTATGTTTCAGAATTTTAAATTCTGAATATGGCCAATTATGCTATCTTTCTGAACTGATGATCTAAGTAATTTGATCAAAGTTGATCAACTTCTAAGCATAGGAATAAAAAAGATGGAATTAAAAAGATGTACTCAAAATAGTAATCTGGCAATAGTGATAAAGATTTTGCATGATTTGAGAAATACAGGATTGCTGTGTTTATGGATAGAAGAAAATACTCTTGAAAAAATAATGTCTCAGAAGTTCTATACATGACTATCAATCCTTATACACCAATACCTTCACGACTTACTACAAACATATCTTCAGAACAATGTACATGTGAAGAGATTTTGCTGCCTTAGCACATATCCATATAGTGTGAAAGCGAATATAGTCAGATTGCCCCTGTCTTCCCAATTGCTGAAAAATAAAAATTCTGTAAAAAATATTTGGGGATAACTAAGTGTAGAAGAAAAGTAGATGAAACCAAGAGCAGTGGCAGAAAAGTGACTGAAACCATGATCAGATAGTATGATGCAAATAAATATATATCTATTGTACACAACTGTTTTCAAAGGAGATTATTATAATAATAATTATATAAAGGAGATTATTATAATATTTTTTTGAAATAAGTATTTTGCATGTTGTATCAATAAAACCGCTACAAAATCACTTCATAAAAAATAACTTAGATTAGCTAAATTGTTAAGAATAATGCAGAATAATTTTATTAGAATTAATCTCCAAAGCCTTCCTAAGTAAACCTTTACTAAGTTTACTAACAACTTTAAAGTGTAAATAATGAATATATGGTCTTTCTTCTTTATGTTCATGGAGACCCTAGGTGATTTTCCACTTAAGGGAGGAAATAACAGAGTATTTTTCATCAAATGCATATTGCATTTCATTTTCCCAGCCTTTGAAAAAATACACAGAACTTCAGGATAGAAAAGAATAATGACCATTATTTCCTGCCCCTTTTCTATAGCATGAAAAGGACTACACTAAATTATGCTTAGATCCCTTGAAATCAACAAGGCATGTCAGTTTTTATTAATTAAAATTACACTGTTTTAATGAGTCTATGACTAAACACAAATCTGTCTAAACAGTGTTATGATTTGAGCAGTTGATGCCAATAAGACATATTCATTTTTAAACGAAGGGTTATGCTTAAAATGATCTAGTTGGATCAGTAAACTGATTCCAGAATTATTTCACTGCATAGTTCGTAGAAACACTAAGGTTCAGACCAGAGGTGGTATTCAGCCAGTTTTGAGTAGTTCAGAGAACCAGCAAATATGCTGGCTCTGCCCCTGCTGCCTCCCAGCGGATCTTCTTTTGTTCCCCTGAATAGGAGAACGGAACTGGAAAGCAGGTTAATAGGGAAGGGGAAGGAATGAGGATTTTGCAGTAACCTTCCCCTGCCATGCCCACAAAGACCATTGGTATGATTTCTGGATTTAGTTTTTAGGATTATATGCATGTTGACACATATTTAGTAGATAGTTGCATGTTCAATTATTGATTGTTCTGATGGCACCCAAAGTAAAGCTCTCATGCAAGGTTTTGCGGCTATCCAAACAGATTACTGGTGTTGCCTAAGCTAACTACCTTTGTTTTGTATTGCACAATTAGGTTAAAGAGAAGTATGCCAGCAATGTTGCATAAGTAGTTTAGTATTTACATAATTCTTATTTGAGCAACAATCTGTAAATCTCTCATCACGTATTGTATTTGAATACTTTGAATCACATATAAACTATAAATCCCCTGTTTGTCCTTCATTTAAGAGATTGAAAACAATTTTGAATAAAGACAACATATACAAATACACATAGCTATGGTCTCTCCATTTAAATAATTATATATGTCCATGAAGTTTAAGGACATAAACTGATAAAAGCAAAGCAAAACGAAAAGCATGTATTAGTTGGCAGTTCAGCTAGCTTTAAAACTAGTAAGGTTTTCTCCAGATATTCTATATTGTCCTTGGGATTGGGTCTTACCAAAAATTTTGTTATTGTGTGTTATTCTCAGAAACAGAAACAGGGATGGTATCAATTTTGGTATATGGAATCCTGTATAATTAAAAATTCTACTCAAATGCTGCTTTCAAGGAAATTGGTTTAAGAAACCTCAGAATTATTTCAGACTTATAAATAGATAAATAGATAGATAGATAGGTAGATAGGGAGGCAGGCAACAAAAAGACAGACAGACTAATATGCATACATGCATACAAATAAAATACTTTAAAACGATTTTGCTGGCTTGATTCAATGAGTAGTTGTTGAGTTATATGAAAGATGATTTCAAGCACAGGTTGAAGAAAGAAATGCATTTTATAATTTATATTCTATTAGTTACTATCCTAAATAAAGATTAAATTGTATAAAAACTGTACAAATAATATTAAACATTTTGGACCACGAGAATTCATTTGGAGTAACCAAGTGGAACAAAGATAAATACATATACTGAACCAACTCCTAATTTCTTCACTTTCAGTGATCGAGCACCCACAATTTCTGGAGGCAAGTTATTCCACTAATCAATTGTTCTCACTGTCAGGAAATTTCTCCTTAGTTCTAACTTGGATCTTTATTTAAGGATCTTCCACATATTACTTCTTGTCCTTCTCTCAGGTTCTTTGGAGAATAGGTTGACTCCTGTTTTCTGTGAGAGCCCTTAGGTACTGGAAAACTGCTATCATATCACCAGTAGTCCTTCTCTTCTTTGACTAGACATACCGAGTTCTCAAGTGTTCATCATATGGATCAGACTCCAGACCCCTTTATTGCTCTTCTCTGTACTTTTATAGGGTCTCTTTTTTGTATTGTAGGGACTATGATAACTTTTTTCCCCAAAAATTGGTCCATTCTTGGTCATGTCATTAAGATCTGGAAAATGTAATACTAAAATGATGGTCATTTAGACTAATCATTTACATTCATAGCTTTCAGAAAGCAATTTTTGGTTTTATTAGGTCTCTGACATTCATTGCCTTCTTCCGTATGTCAATCTAACTAAAATAATTTAGTTTTTCAAAAGTAGAATAATTGTTTTGAATTCATCATGACTGGAAGCAAATAAGTTCTTGCAAGATGAAATATATAATTTCCTTCCTAGACTGACTTTTTCTCCAATTTCTGATTACTAAAAGGATGTTAGGAACTTCAGAAACTAGAATAAAGGAGTAATTCATGCTATTGAAGTTGGTCATTAGCTTTCTTTATAATAAATGCTTCTTGTTCAAACTGAGCTATTGTTTTATTTAAACATTTGTTTCTTTTGCTTTTGTTTTTCATGCTTGGAATTGCACTAGGTTGATTTACCAGTTATGACTGCAGTTATGACTTCTACCATTTTACTTCTTACAGCTCAGTTTTGATGAATTTATATTCATAAGGGATCTTTCGAGAACCCATAGGGAATCATGACTTTCCTCTGAAGCAAGAAAATCATGCATACTTGGATATGAATATTTGGCTATAAATTATACTCAGTATACTTCAATAAAATCGTGATGCAATTATCATCAGCATAAATCTGTATGTGAACATTATTATACAGAAACATTTGAACATTTCTTGGTTTTTGAAGTCTAACAGAACAGAACATTTAGCTCTTGCTTCTTCTTTTTTTTTTGCTCCCGCTAGTGTTCAATCTCATATCCAAAACATTTTTAACCTTTACAGGCGGATTCAATTAGTATATCGTATTGTGATTATCAACCATTGATTGATAACCCTAACTTAATAGATTTGATGGGGAAAAAAGAATGAAACAGCAGAATTAAGTGAATGTAATAGATTAGCGTTAAAGAACAGCCAAAAACATTTTAGAAAGCTAAAAGGAACAAGAGCCAAATATATAATTATTGAATTTATGCGATCTTCAGTATATGATTTTATTTTATGACAAATCTTTCATTCTTTATGGGAATAATACCTATTTTTTGGTTTTTTTTTTACTTCTGCTATTCTAAACTAAGAAGGAAAACCAAACAAGATAGTTATGGAAAGGACTTGTTATTCAGGATGTGATTAAACAAAAGGAAAAATAAATGGCTAGCTTGCTCAAATTTAAACAAGATATTTATGAACTAAGAAATCAAATGATTAATTTCAGTTTATTTTGCTTTCTCATCTGATGTAAACTTATGCTCAGAAGTATGTCCATCTTTACTGATTGGGAAGTCTATGTAGACCTATTCACCAGATTCTATTCAATTATGCTGGAGTATAACTCCCATTTTTAGCCAATACAACCATTTCTGAAGTTCTTCAAAACTTTATTGTAACGAAGCCTTTGGTGGCCATAGTTCTATCTTGTACTATCTTTCTCTATCTTCAGAGGGCTGTTATTCATTTTTCACATTGAAGGTCTGATAAAGGAAGATGTGCTTAATCATTTGGCTCTGCTGTTTACTTTTCTTTTGCCTCCATTTTCTTTATAATAATTAATAACTGATTTTATGGTTAATATTATATTTTAAATGAATATATTTATTGGAATAATAATGAAACTAATGATGCTAATTATTTAACAGATATGATTGAATCCAAGCTCAAACTCTTTCTCTTGCTTTTCATGTGCATGCTGAAGAATGAGTGTAAAACTTGAAAAACAATACTTTTTTTCTCAAAAATATATTTTGGAAAAAGGTCTGGGAGCTTATTAACATGTAGTGTCAGATGCTGCTTTGCTTTTGTGTCGAAAGGGCATTGGCAGCTAAAAATATAGGCAGACACATGTTTTTCTCTATGACAATCTTATTAGTTTCAATTGTCTTACTTAATTATTAACCAAGGAGATTATATAAAAGAATGCACATTCTCTTATGGACCTGATAAGATTTTGAAAACAAATTCACAGAAGAAGAAATAGAAAGACAGAGGAAGGAGGGGAAAGAAAAGACCTATATTAATATATTGTGTTTTTGAAATTTATATTGTTTTGGATCAGATTAGACCCCAAAAGGTAAAATGCAAATCAGGTCATGACCGATTTTTAGGCTTGACAGACGAGAACAAATAAATATAGGAGTATCTTTTTTAAAAAATTGCTTCAAAGAAGAGAAGAACATTATTTGAACAATAAAAGCTCAATTTCCTCTGCATATCAGTGTAGCTACGTACTTATAAAAAAGTAAGAAAGCAGACACTAATTGGATAAAACCTGTCCTATGGCACATATACATACAATCAAGAATACCCAGATAAAAACTGGATGTCCAAAAGTAGAAAAAGTATTCTATACTTCCCCAAATTTAAATAGAAATTTCAGTCTTTCGTGGATCATATTATTCTCACTTAAGAGTTCATGTGAGACATAATTGATCCAGCTTGATAAAACGAGATGATTGACAGTGTCTTCATCAAACTGATTAAAAGGAGGGGCTACAGAAACCAATAATGGCAATAATTATGGCATCATTATAGTAATATAAGATTAGGGAGACAATAATAAACCATATCTTAGGCATTGTTGTTTGTACTAATTCTAAAACTCATAGCTTCCATTAAGTCTGCAACATCATGAACTGAACTATGGGAAAGGCATTCCATCCCTTTTGTCCTATTTGCTATTCCATCCATTCTTTAGAGGTTACAGCAAGAGCAAGCATTTTCCAATACAGTGCTTTAAAGACTTAGTGAACTCAGTGATCTGGCTGTGATGAAGTATAGGAATATAGCCAATGAATTTAATGCATATTCAGTATTAGTCAATGAAGTATATATAACTTGAATATTTAATGTATAATAATATTAAGACTGAGATACACTTTGTGTTGTGTTTTAAGGCAATGGGCCAGAACTGGGAGACCATGTGTTCCAGTTTTAGGTAGGTGCCAAGATGGGTCAGTCCTGCCAGTCACTCTCCCTGACCCTGAGGAAGAAAACAGTGGCAAACTACTTAGGAAAAAAAAAGAAACAGGGGCAAGAAAAATGCAGGGACTTGTTCAGGCTAATGCCAAAAGTCAAAATTAACTTGAAAATAAAAAATTAAAATAAAATAATAACATAAAACAAAAAAGCACATCAATTTTCAAGCAATAATTTACTAATGAATGAAGTTATAACATTTAAACACATTGGGGAGAAAAATCAAATAAATAATGCTTTATGTCCTATTGTAATTTTGTTGATGAAGAACATCTTGGCGTAATACTTCTATCTGTAGTTGACATATATTGATTCAATGCACTGTGTGAAAATATACATGGACAATAAACCATAAAGTAAATTCTTTTAGTGATAATTCAAATCCATCGTTGACTGGCTAATCTAAGTTAGTGATCTATTTAATTTTGAGTTTGTAATCTACTTGTGCAACTCTGAAGTATCAAGCTAAGCTGGGAGAAAGAATCTCAAGATAACAGTGAGTAAATTCTGCTTACCAAGGGGTTGATATCAGCATGATATGCCAATTGATGGGCACAGGATGCACAATCTTTTGTACATTCTGCCTGAATGGTAAGGATAAGGTATGCATTAAGAGCCAAAAGCAAGAAATAACACCTCAGAAGCAGTGTCATGGTCTGCAAAAAGAAGAAGAATTAAACTCAGTCACAGTATTTTCTTTTTTTATACCAGCAATAGATCGCATTAAGAAATACATAAGGAAAAAGAATCTAAGGTGTTTTTAGTTGAATTACGCCAGCAATAATGTCTACCACGAATGAAGGTGAATATACATGTCCCAGGATAATGTTGCAGGATCCAATTTGGGTCAGTCACCGGGACCAGACATTTAGACTTCCAAGCTTTTGGATACGTGCTGGAGCCCATCCTCCGGGAAAGAGCGGAGGTGGCGCAGTGGTTAAATGCAGCACTGCAGGCTACTTCAGCTGACTGCAGTTCTGCAGTTCGGCTGTTCAAATCTCACTGGCTCAGGGTTGACTCAGCCTTCCATCCTTCCGAGGTGGGTAAAATGAGGACCTGGATTGTTGTTGGGGGCAAGATGCCGACTATGTAAACTGATTAGAAAGTGTTGTAATGCACTGTGAAGCAGTA